ACCCATATTACATTGGAGAAAACTGAGTCCTGGAGAGGTAAAGGGACTTGACCATAGTATAGTCATAGTATTCACACAGTATAACCATGGCACAACTGGGACTCAGCTAGGCCTCCTGATCTCATAGGAGCTAGCAGAGCTCTTTTTTTTTTTTTTTTTTTATTTGCAGTATTGGGGTTCAAACTCAGGGCCTCACCCTTGCTAGGTTACTAGACAGGTGCTCTACCACTTAAGCCAGTCCTAGTAGAGTTCTTTGTATCACTTTAAGATTCTAGGTCAGCACAGTGTGCTGTCCTGAAACATTAATCCCTACTCAGAGCAGACATCACCAATCCATCACAGCAATTCAGGAGCTTTAACTCCAGGCGGCCACCAATCAAGACTTGGCAAGGGGCTTGGGGGTGTGGCTCAAGTGGTAGAGCACCTGTCTGTCAAGAATGAGGCCCTGAGTTCAAACCCCAATACTGAAAAAAAAAAGAAAAAAGAAGAGTTGGCACAAGAGATGAAAACCACATGAATTCCTTGATTCCTGAGTCCTGATAGTGGGAATATGGATTACCAGGGACACCTGTTTGCTGTCCTTGTCACTGATCTTAATATTGTCACAGTCAGGAGATGAGTTTGTTCGAAGGGTTTTTAAATCAGGCTACAATGGAACACTGCATCGCTGAAACGAATTATTTTTTTCTCCCCCTAAAAACCAATACACAGACCTTTCTCCATTTTTAGACTTTTTTTCTCCCACTTTTACTCCTAGATCTTCACAGCATCAAATAGAAATGAAACCAGTTATAGAAACAAATAGCTGTAGGTGTGGCTCAAGTGGTAGAGCACCTGCCTAGCGAGTGTAAGGCTCTGAGTTCAAACCTCAGTACCACCAAGGGGAAAAACAAAAAACACCTGTTGTAATTTTAAGGTTAAGGTGTCTGACTTTAATGGTGTTTCTCAAATAGTAATGCAGAGACTGCATTTGCAAAGCATAGCTTGATGCAGGCTCTAATGGGTGGGGGACATTGAAACTTGGAGGGAAAGAGTCTTTAGATTGGTAGAGGGGCTGGGCTTTGCAGACTGGGAGGGCTTCCCTACCCCCACTCCCAATCACTGTTTTCACCCCATCTGTCCCCCCCAGGTCCCAGCCGTCGGTTCAAGCGAGTGGTGGAGACCATTCAGGCCCAGCTACTGAGCACTCACGACCAGCCCTCTGTTCAGGCCCTGGCAGGTGGGTGGTGGGGGCTGCAGGTAGTGGACATGTGTTCAGGATAACCAGGTGCAGACAAGGCCTCTGCAGTGTTGAAGCCAGGCCTACCTGTTGGGCTTCTTGGCTGATGTCTTGCTGAATCCTTATGTGCATTATTGTGAGCAGGTACCCTGAGAAATTGGGGCCTGAGAAGAGACACTCCAGTAACCTGGAGATTCAGTTCCCAAAAGTCCCTGAGAGGGTGATAGCCTCTGTGCTAGGGGCGGTGGAACATCCTGTCACAAAAATCCCGATCTGTGCCTTGGAGGAGGTGACAAGCCATCCTGATTTTCATGGAACTAAGAGGGCATTGCTGGGATATATGACTGTTAGTTTAAAACCAGGACAGATGGGTGACCCTCTTTGCAGAACTCAGATATCACCAGCATTCAAAGATACAGGCCTCAGCTGGTCCTGTTACCTTTTAGCAACTATGGGACAGATCAAAAGCCAGGCCTCAGTAGGGCTTGTTGCCAAGGTGTCCTAGTCCATTCAGGCTTTGATAAGATAATAACAAACTGGGTGTCTTATAAACAACATAAATTTATTGTCTGCAGTCTGGAGGTTAGAAATCCAAGATCAAAGCACCCACAGACCCATTTCCTTGTTCATAGATGATGCCATCTTGCTGTGTCCTCACATAGTGGAAGGGGCATAAGTGCACTAATCCCATGCATGAGGGCTCCACCCTCATGATGAAATCACCTCCCGAGGCCTCACCTCAGGGTGAGGATTTCAGCATATAAATTAAAAGCAGACATGACATTCAGCCTTGGTACAAAGTGTGCTTGTCCTAGCTGCTGGTGAGAATGAGACTTCTGAAAGAGAAGGGAACTCTTGCTTGGGAAATCAGGTCCCACTGTAGTGTGCAGGGAAAGGGGGCTGGGCAGCTACCAGGGGACAGTCATCTGCCCTGGAAGAGTCTGGCAGTGTCAGACCCCCTTCCCAGACCCCCTGCCCATATCTTCTGTGAAAGAGAGCAGGCAAAGGGGATCAGCAATGAGTGCGCTTGTCACCAGAGAACATAAGAGAACATAAGTCCCAGGGTCAGATCTTTGCTCTGGGGACCTGAGATTCTTGCCCCTGGGTAGTTCCTCACTGTTATCAAGTGACCACAAACTTGGTGGTGGAAATAATATAGATTTACCATCCTGCAGTCCTGGAGTTCACACACCCCCTGCTGTGCTCATGGGGCTGATGTCAGAGTGTCCCAAGGGCCCCCTGCCTCCCAAGGCACCAGACCAGAGCATGTTCTCTTGCCTTCTGTTAGAGACTGCCTGTATTTCCTTGCCAGTGGCCCCTTCTTCCAGTCAGAGGCAGCAATGCTACTCTGACCTTGACCTTTGCTGGTTCATTTAAGGATTTGTGCGACTGAGTCCACAAGATAATTTACTCACCTAAGGAGATTAACCATAATCACAACACAAGATCTCTTCTGCCCTATAAGGTAACCAAATATTTAAAAGTTCCTGGCATTAGGATGTGGGGGTATGCTGTCATTATTCAGCCTACCACAGCCCCTCAAGAGACGTTTGGCAGTGTGTGGAGACATTTTTTGTTGCCTCAACTGGGAGAGCAGGAGGATGTTACTGGTATCTAGTGAGTGAAGATCAGGGTGTCATGAAATGTCCTACAGTTCACAGGACACCCCTCAAAACAAAGGGTTATTCAGACTCTAATGTCAGTAGTACCCAGGTAAGAAACCCTGTTCTCCCTTATAGTTGCTAGGAGTTACCAGAAAGCAAATTATGCCCATTGGACCCTGTTGCCAAGGAAAGCTGGGCTGAGCAATCAGGGATCCCAAAAGGATCCACCCTCAAACATGTGGAACAAAGAGGCACCCCAGGGCTTAGCCACCCATCTTTTTTTGAGGCAGGGTCTTGCTATGTAGCCCAGGTTTACCTTAAACTCTTGGTCATCCTGCCTGAGCCTCTCAAGTGCTGGGGTTATAGACATGCAGCACCAAACCTGGCTATCACCTGTCTTATAAAGAGGAAGGGTGTCCTAGAAACAGAGAGCTTCACTGGTTGCTGTGGCAATGAGCCAGCACCTCTCTACCCCCAGCAAAAAGCATCTCTTAAAGAAGCCTGATCTGTGCCAGGGGACCTCTGTAGATGTTTCAGCTCCCATGGAAATTGCTAGATGACCACCATACAACCAGTATTTCCACTGCCAGCCCCAAGCGCAAATAGCTCAGTCTGAGGAAGTCAAGTCCCACAAAGGATGGCCTGTGTCAGGTATGTCCAACCAGGAGGGCCCAAGAGACTCAAAATAAGCAGTAGGCTTCCATGGGCCCCATTCCCAAAAACATTCCTCCCTAACAACCTAGCAGAAGGTAAGGAGTGCCCTCTGACTGTCAACCTTGTGTGCTGTCCCAGCAACCTGTCCCTGAGAATTTCTTGAGGTGGTCTGGCCTAAATCTCGGACTAACTTGGTTAGGTTTTCAAAGTCACAAAGGGATCACAAAGGAACCACCCTCAAAGATGTAGGACCAACAGGTACCTCAGGGCCTTAGCCACCTGTTGTTTTGTTTTGTTGAGTCAGGGTATTGCTGTGTAGCCCAGGCCTTGAACTCACATTCCTGGGGTAGAGTCCCCCATCTAGGAAAGCCAGGTCCTCTTGGTAGGGTGTGTGACTCCTGTCAGACATGTCTGAGGGCTTGAAGTCTCATTGATGGGAGAATTTGGCTAGACTTCACAAGTATCTTAAAGGCTTGAAAAGAACTGATAGGAGCCAGGCACTGGTGGCTCACGCCGCTAATCCTAGCTACTCAGGAGGCAGAGATCATCAGTAGGATCACACTTTGAAGCCAGCCTGGGCAAATAGTTTGAGAGACCCTATCTCAAAAAAAACATCAAAAAAAGGGCTGATGGAGTGGCTCAAAGTGTAGGTCCTGAGTTCAAACTTCAGTACTGAAAAAAAAACTGACTGATAAGAGCTACAGTCCTGGAGCCCACACAAAATCTCTTCTTCTTTCACAGATGAGAAGAATGGGGCCCAGAACCGGCCTGCCAGCACCCCACCCCGAAGCCTGCAGCCCCCACCTGGCCATCCAGACTCTGAGCTAAGCAGCTCTCCCCGCCGAGGCCCTCCCAAGGACAAGAAACTCCTGGCCACCAATGGGACCCCTTTGCCCTGACCCCAGGGGACCAGGGAAGGAGGGGAAAGCCCTCTATCCCCCCTTCCCTGCCCCCCCAACTGTGAATCTGTAAATAAGGCCCAAGGAGTATGTTGGGATGGGGGACACACAAAATCCGGCCTTGCCCTGCAGGGATGGGGCTCCAGGGGCCGTGCCCAATGGGGGGAGGTTTTAGGGCAAAAAGGGGGTGGGGAGCTGTTTCTATTTTATTTATTGATTAATTTATTATTTTATTTATTGATCAATTCTCTGCGGGTGGGATGGGGGAGGGACAGGAGTGGTTGGGGTGGCTTAGCAGATCCGGACAGGGCCCTGTCCCTGTGTCATCCCCAACTCCCCCTTCCTTGACCCCTTCTCTTCCTGATCCTTTCCCCTCCCCTAAGACCTTCTGTACGGATTTGCTCTCCCGGAAGGAATTCTGGTTTCGCGTGATCCTGCCTGCGTCCGTGTCTCTGATTCCGCCGGCGGCAACCACAAAAAATAATAAATAACCTTGATCAGGGACAGCTGGCTGGCCTTGGCCTCTCGCTTCCTGGGTGTCCCTGACTGCAGAGGCAGAGACAGGTGGGTGCCAAGGTGCTGGCTCCAAATGCTTGTCCCAAGCCCCACATGCACATATCTCCTAGCTCCAGGACAGAAGTGGTCAGTAACCCTGATTCCAGCCAGTTGGAGAGACCCCTCCCCGCCCCCATGGTTCATCTTGTGGAAAACTAGGAATCGGCCCCCACTTTGTTCTTTCACCAGTGAGGACAGGGCCCATGTGGAAAACTAGGAATCGGCCCCCACTTTGTTCTTTCACCAGTGAGGACAAGGCCCAGTCAGAGCACCTCTATAGCTGGACCTGCAGGGACACAGGGGAGGCTGGTGGGGGGCTGAGGCTCTGGCGTGGCTGAAGACACAAGTTGCAGCCATCCAGAACAGAGAAGTCCACAGCAAAGAGACCAAACAGCATGAAGAGCAGCATGGCCACGGCCCACTCACAGGCAGCAGAGGCAGAACGCAGCAGCCAGGAGTGGAGGACAATCACTTCACACAAGGGTCAAGGACCATGTGCCATGTTGAAGAACCCAAGAGCCCAGTTGGGTTGCTGTGTGACCTTGGGTTAGGCCAAGGCCTTCTAAGGGTGTCCTCTTGTGAGGTGTTCATCTGCTCCGGCTTGACAGAACCCATCTGTCAGGCATCACCTCAACTATGGTCTTTTTTTCTTTTTGGTGGTAGTGGGGTTTGAACTCAGGACTTCAATCTTGCTAGCAGGCGCTCTATCACTTGAACCATGCCCCCAGCCCAAGCTCTGATCTACATGTTTCCTGTTCTGTTGACCTTTCCTGACCCTGGAATGGCTCTCCCATCTCCTGAATTGTCCCAGCATGAGGCTATGTGCTCCTTCCTCCAAATATGCACTTTCCTAAGCATCTCCTGCCCCAACCAGCCTCAGGCTTCATAACTTTCTCCTGAACATTGTTCCCTAGCTGTGACCCACAGCCCCACCCCACTCCCTAACAGAATTGAATCTAATCTCCCCCCAACAAATCTGTTCCTCTTTGTGGATGTCTCCACCTCTGTGGCAACCATCCTCATGTGCCCCAATGGAAACTTTGGAGTCTCCCTCCCCCTCCACCAGCTGATCACTTCCTGTCCTATCTGGCTGACCTATCTCTACTGCTCTGTCCACCCCTCCTCTGCTTTGCAAGGCCCACCCAGCTTCTTAAAACCTTTTTGTATATCACCAGCCCACTCATTCTACAAACTCTGGCCTCCTTGCAGGGACAACTCTTGTGTTCTGGAATCTCTCACTGGAGGCTCCTCCTCCACCTTCTCCTCCCCCTTTCATCCTGTCTAGTTCTACCTTGCCCCTCCCAGATAAGCTCAGACATTATATCATTCATTTCATTCTTTTTGAGCCTGGACTCATGATCCTCCTGCCTCAGCCTCCTAAGAGCTGGGATGGCAGGCATGGGCTCTCACACTGGCTTCAAGGATTTCTAAGCTCCTTATGTGCCAGACTATGAAGATAGAGATGAATAAGGCTGACACTATCCCTGGCCCCATGGATCCCATACAAGGTTGCAAGGATATAAGCAGGTAAGCAATTGCTTACATCCAGGAATGGACCTATTCCTTCCCTATTCAGGAGCTTCTTTGGCTCCATATGGCCCCCATGCAAAAGCCCATCCTTCTAATCCCTCATCTGGGAGACCTTCAGCTGTATTCCTGCCAGCAGCCCTTATTTCCTTCCCTGAGCTGGTTTTGCTACCTTCTGCATACACCTGTTCCCCAAATTTCTCAGCGTGGGTCACAAGCATCACCTTCTACAGGCTTGGGTTCCCTGCAGGTCTAATCTGCAGACTTCCAGCCCTTATCACACTCAACTGTCTTTATGGCTCCTTCTCTCTCCCCACAGAGACATGATTTATCACTCCATTTTTGAAGATTGTAAAGAGGCCTGCTGGATCTTACCACTAACTGCACACTACTGCAAAGGGCTGGACCAGATCACACTGGCCCGAGTTGCCAAAGGCAAAGCTGAGGCCAGCCTTTCCCACCATTCTGTGGGGTTCCTTGGTTGTTCTGGGAAAGGAGATAGCCATCTCCATTCCACTTACTAGATGCAACTAACCCAGAGCTTTGGCTGGTGGAGTGACTCAAGTGGTAGAATGCCTCCCTAGCAAATGTGAGGCCCTGAGTCCAAAACCCCAGTACCACAAAACAAAACAATACACAGCACAACACAGAGCCTCACCTGGTTTGCCCTCTTCGGAAAGCTGCACCTGCCTTCTCAGTCTCTCCTCCCAACCTCCTCACAAATGAGAGAGGCCCCAAGGCCAAGTCTACAGTCATTCCTCTTTCTCTGAGCATTCTACACTACCTATCAGAATTAGTCATTATTGTGATAAAAAGCAACTGCATTTCATAGATAGGAAAACTGAGGCTCAGAGAATGAATCAAGCCACCCAAGTTGTGCCACGCTGATGGAAAGCATCTGGGTTCTGGATGACTCAGAAATGAGTTGAAATTGAACCTTCATCCAGTGATGTGCTGATAAATGTTTTAACAGCCAGCTCTAGTTGGTAGAGTTTGCCAGTTCCCCTGGTGTAAATACTTTCATGATGGCCATTTCAAGCCACTTAGATGAAGTCACAGAACATGGAGTTGTCTGCCACTAATACCACCAAAGACCAATGGTCAAGAGGCTTCTCCCATCTGAACCTGTTTCTATTATTAGACACATGTCCTGATGTGTAGGATGAAATGGGCACCCCAAATGGACTTATTAATGTATCATTGTCCCAATATTTATCAACCACACACTGCATACCAAGCACAGATCTAAGGACTCACATCCATCCTAAGGTCAGCCTGTTACTATTTGCATTTCATAAATGAGGAAACTGAGGCACTGAGAATTTCAGAAACCCGTGTATGTTTCCCCCAGCTGACACATGGAGAAGGTGAGATTCCATCCCAGGCAATCTGACCTCCAAGTCACCACTTTTGCCTAGGAAGCTATGGTCCTGTGCATAGACAGGCCCAGAACATGAAGGGCACATCACAAAAGAACAGGGACCAACCCCAATGAAGAACAACTCTAGCTGTGCATTGGTGGCTCATGCCTATAATCCCAGCTACTAGGGAGGCTGAGATCAGGAGGATCACAGTTTGAAGCCAGGCTGGGTAAGTAGTTTATGAAACCCCCATCTCCAAAATAACCACAGCAAAATGGACTGAAGGGGTGGTTCAAGTGATAGAGCACCTGTTTTGCAAGCATGAAACCCTGAGTTCAAAACCCCAGTCCCACCAAAAAAAAAAAAAAAGAGCCACCTCCAACCCTGCTCCCAGCCCCAATAAGGATACTGGCCATAATGAGCACGGTGCAGAGGCTGCACATACTCAGGCGCAATGGCCCAATCCAGGGGGCCCCAGGCTGAGGCAAGCCCCTTATCCGCCAGGAGAGAAAGAGCTGCAGCCAGAAGTAGAGGTTGCCCAAAATGAAGGCGAGGAAGGCCCCCACCAGGTGTGTGTGCTTCTGGTTCTTTACCTGGGAGAAGGAAGGAGAATTGAGAGGAAAACTATGACAGGAGTTGGGGAGTAGTGTGGGGAGGGGACTCTGAGCCAACCCAACTGACTGTGGTTGAAAATTGCCATGCTGGTGACTGCCTTTCAGACTAGGTACCTTGCCTACTGCTAGCTCCAGGGTTCAGGCTTATGTTCAAACCTGGTGCCCATGGCTCACACCTGTCATCCTAGCTACTTAGGAGGCTGATATTGGGAGAATTACAGTTCAAGGCTAGCCCAGGCAAATAATGAGCCCTCACTCCAAAATAACCAGAGCAAAACAAACTGGAGATTTGTCTCAAGCAGTATAGTGCTTGCTTTGCAAGCTTGAAGCCCTGAGTTCAAACTCCAGTCCTACCAAAAAAAAAAAAAAATCTGTCATTTGCTGCTATGGCCTTGATACCTACAGCAGCACTTCACACAAAGTAGATGCCTAGGAAACATGAGCGGAATGGATCTTGATTTCTCAAAGGGGTGACAGATATATAGTTCCTGGGGGAGTCATATTTGGTTCTTGACAGGTGAAAATTTCTTAGATATTACAAAAGTTTGTTTGATATTTTTAAGTGTTATGTATTTCATGTAGGTCCAGGGATGGTGGTACAGGTGCATGATGCAATCCCAGAATTTGGGAGGCTGAGATAGAAAGATTGCAAATTCAAGGCCAGCCTGGGTACATAGCAAGCAAGATCTTGTCTCAAAAAAAATAAATAAAAATAAAAAATAAATCATGGTGGGAGGAAACAATTGTTTGTTTAATAATAATAATATAGTAAATAGGTTGAGGATCACAGGAATGAATGAAAGCAAATTAATTGTTATGCAAATGAGGCCAGGAGGCAGCCTCTTGTCCCTCTACCCAGCTTCCATTATTTCAGCAAGAGAGACTGGCATCAAGACACAATATAAAATTTTTGAAATAAACAGTAAGATTTCTCCTATCATTTGCTGATAAATTCATTCTACAAACAACTACAGAGCCTCGTTGATAAGGGTTGCAGAGTATGTGAATCTGGGTTTGTGTCTGATCACCAAGGGCCAGCTGGTTTAACACCTCTGGGATACTACCAAGAGAACCTAACAGAGCTCTGCTGGAGACGGACTGAGATAATGTCCACACTGTAAAAAGCCTCCCGCCTCCCACAGAGGCAGTCCTCAGTGTACCAACATGAATAAGTGAATCGCAGTAATTTCATGATTAAGTGAGATTAACACAAAATTCTCCCACCTTCCTCAGATTGCACCAGCACCCGTGGACAAAGAGCCTTGTGCAGATAGCTGACTTCGCCCCAGTGTGGCTCACAGCCATGAGAGAACTGCAAGTCCCATGAAGCCTTGCGAACAGAAACCCCCAAACCAGCAGCCCTAGGCCACAGGGAACACTGGGAGTTGTAGTCCACATTCCTTCTACTGCCTCTGAATGGGCGCCCAGTGCATCTCACCTGAAAGTTGCCTACTATGGAAGTCCCTAAGGCACACAGGAGTCCAGACCACAGGATCAGCTGGTTAGGCCACGTTCTGACTCCCCAGTCTCGGAGTTGGTGATAACGCACAATGCAGACGCAGACAACTGGGAAGAGAGGGAAGTAAGCAAGAATAGGACTTAGCTCAGTACCCGACAGAAATGAAGGTTGTGGAACATGAAATCACCAGGACAAGGGACTGGGTCCAAATTCCTGGATTTGAGGAATGGGTTAGCAGGGGCTGGAGGTCCTGAACTCTGGGTCTGAGGGAGGAGGGCTGGGGTGTCTTGGATGGTTTGGGCTAGCAGTGAAGGACAAGGACAGGGGAATATTTACCCATGGCAGCTCCCACGTTGAGGACCTGGCTGAAAATGCAGCTCTGAGGGGGGAAAGATCCACATAAACTGCAAAAGGCAAAAAGTCATGGTGTGGCTCCTCCAGGCCAAGCTCTCCACTCTCCTCCCACATCATCCCATATGTCACCACAACCTGATGAAGGGGAAGTCTTTGGTGAGGTCCACAGTGCTATTGATCACAGCAATTGTAAAACTGAGAAGGAGAAACACACTGAAGTGAGTGAGGGAATTTTAAGGACAGCTCCATTCAAACACTTGATGAGTTAACAAATCAGCTTGGACTTCTGACCTCTCCTCCCTCAGACCCAGCAGTCCTGACCAACTGCAGCCCTCCTCCCTCAAAGCCAGGAGTCCAGACCCCAGCCCTCCTCCCTCAGACTCAGGAGTACAGATCCCAACCCTCCTCCCTCAGACCCAGGTGTCCAGGCCCCAGTTCCTCCTCCTCCCTCAGATCCAAGGATCCAGACCTCATTCATCCTCCTTCAGACCTAGGTGTCCAGATCCCAGCCCTCTTCCCTCAAACCCAGAGGTCCACAGCCCAACACTCCTGCCTCAGACCCAGTGATCCAGACCCCAACCCTACTACCTCAAACCCAGGCATCTCTTGGGCCTCTACTACTCACACGAGCCAAACACCGATGATAGCCCATAGTGCCAGGATGACTGGCAGAAGGGACAGGTAGCCCCACATGCTGGGCTCTGCTGTGGAAGAAGAGGGGCTGGATAGCAACTTCTCAGTCTTGCAGGTGAAGAAGCTGCTTTCAGGTGTTCTGGATGGAGGCCAGCCTCTGAGACCCCATTGGCTTCCAGGTAGAAGTAATGGGCTCCAGTTCTGATCTGAAGCAGGCCAGCCCTTGCTCCAGGCACTTTCCCTATCTTTCCCAGTCCTAACTCCCAGTTTCTCCCTGTGTTTTCAGCCTCTCCCCTGGCTGTCCCAGGGCCCTCACCTCTCCAAGCTCCCTGCTTTTCTAACTTCCTTGGTATGTTTGGAGCTTGGTGACAGCTTCAGGAGAGAAGGGCTGGGATTTAGTGCAGGCTATTCCCACAGAGGCAAAGTCCAGAGCAGCCTTGTGTCTGACCTGCCACGTTCTAAGCAACCTCACCCTGAAACTACCACTTCCTGTCTCCTCAGAACAGAGTAGGCAGCACCCTACTTGGGGAGCCTCTAACTTTCTCCAGTTTCGTGGGTTCCAAACTCTGAGCCTCCAGCACTCTCCACTCTCCTTCCTTGGGAACCCAAGATTCTACCCCCCAACCTCTACTTTCACCTCCCACCTCAGCACCTTCCTCTCTCAGGATCAAGGAGTCCCAAGAGGGCCACCTCCCATTCTGGAATCCCTACATTTATCTTAGCCCGTAGGGTCCAACTTCCCTTACCTACTTACAAATCCAGTCCCTCAGTTCTGCTTATTGGATGCAGTTTCTGTCCTTGGGCTGCTGGATGTGGGGCCCTGGTAGAGTTGCCTCCTCCCCTCCATTTGCTGTCCCCTCTGCCTTTCTTTTGTGGCCAGCCTGGAGTTCCTCAGGCAGGCAGGGTGTGCCTGAGGAACTCGATGCTGGGGCCATAGTGTTGTGAAATCCTTCCCCAAAGCAGCGACTTCCTCTGCCCCCACCATTTTCCTCAGTTTTCTGTCTCCTCCCCTTTGGTTTGGGTCAGGGATAGGCCTCCACCTTTCTTCCTCTCTTTCTTTCTTTCTTTCTTTCTTTCTTCTTTCTTGTACTCCTCCTCTTCCTCCTTCTTTTTTTTTTTTTTTTTGCCAGAACTGGAATTTGAACCCTAACCCTAACCCTGGTGCTTGCTAGGCAGGCACTCTACCACTTGAGCCATGCTGCCAGCCCTTTTTGCTTTAGATGTTTTTTTAGGTAGTGTGTTGCATGTTTTGCAGGCTATGGATCTCAATCCTCCTACCTATGCCCACCAGCTGGAGACATGCCCACCATACCAGCTTCTTCTGAGGACCCGAGTTCAAGCCCATCCCTCTTCCCTTAGCATCTTGTTTCTCTCTTTCTTTCTTTCTTTCTTTCTTTCTTTCTCTTTTGAGACAAGGTCTCAGGCATGTACCACCATACCCAGCTTCTTTCTTTCTTTTTTTAATTTGGATAAAATTCACATAGCATAGAATTAACCATGTAAAATCACCATTCATTGCATTTAGCTCATTTACAATATGTGCCACCACCAACTCTACCTAGTCCAGAATATTTTCATCACTCCAAAAAGACACCCATACCCTTTAATCAAGCAATTAAGTTACTCCAACTATACCACTACTTTCTGTTTCCATGGACTTCCCTTCTGGGCTTTTCATGTAAGTGGAGTCCTATCATGCCCAGTTTTTTGCATCTCGTTTCCTTTGCTTTTGACCTGTTTTTGAAGTTCACCCATGTCATTAATGGGCTGTTTCTCTGAAATTCATTTTGAGATTTAATCCCCCATTATGAGATATTAAAGGGAACTGAGAGTGTAGCACAGTGATAGAGCCATCCAAGGTCATACCATGATACTTTATCTGAAAAACAAACTAAAAGCAAAAGGGCTGGGGGCATGGCTCATGTGGTAGAGGGAAGCCCTGAGTTCAATCCCTAGTACCACACATACACAAAAAAGGACAGGGCACAGTGGCTCACACCTGTAATCCTAGCTATTTTGGAGGCAAAGATTAGAAGGATTGCTGTTCCAGGCTAACCCGGGCAAAAAGTTCTCAAGACTCCATCTCAAATAATAAAAGCTGAGTGTGGTGTCATACTTGTCATCCCAGGTACATGGGAAGCTTAAATAAAAGAACAAGAGAATTGAGATCCAGGCCAGCCTGGGCATCCTCAAGACCCTATTTGAAAAATAATTCAACAGGTACCGGTGGCCCACGCCTGTAATCCTAGCTACTCAGGAGGCAGGGATCAAGAGGATTGAGGTTTGAAGCCAGGCCAGGCGTTTATGAGACCCTATGTCAAAAAAACCATTCACAAAAAAGGGCTGGTGGAGTGGCTCAAGGTATAGACCCTGAGTTCAAACCCCAGTACCGCCAAAATAAATAGATAACTCAAGCAAAAAGAGCTGGGGTAATAAATAGATAACTCAAGCAAAAAGAGCTGGGGTCATGACTAAAGTGACTGAGTGCTTGCCTATCAAGGGCAAGGCCCCTGAATTTAACCCCTAGTAGTGCCAGAAAGGAAGGAAGGAAGGAATGAAAGGAGAGAGAGGAGGGAAGGAGGAAGGGAGGGAAGGAAGGGAGGAAGGAAGAGAGAGAGGAGGGAAGGAGGAAGGAAAGGAAGAAAGGAAGGAAGGAGAAAGGAAGGAGGGAGGGAAGGAGGAAGGAAGAGAGAGAGAAGGAGGGAAGGAAGCAGAAAGATAAAGAAAGAAGGAAGGAAGGAGGAAAGAAAGAGAGAGAGAGAAGAAAGAAGAAAGAAAGAAAGCAAGCAAGCAAGCTGGTGCTGGTGGTTCACACCTGTAATCCTAGCTACTCAGGAGGCAGAGATCAAGACGATTTCAGTTCAAAGCCAGTCCAGGCAAATAGTTCCAGGAGACCCTATCTCAAAAAACCCTTCACAAAAATAGGGCTGGTGGAGTGGCTCAAGGTATAAGCCCTGAGTTCAAGCCCCAGTAATGCAAAGAGAGAGAGAGAGAGAGAAACAGAGAGAGAGAGAGAGAGAGAGAGAGAGAGAGAGAGAGAGAGAGAGAGAGAGAGAGAGAGAGAAGGAAGGGAGAAAAAGAAAGGAAGGAGGGAGGGAGGGAAGGAGGCAGGAAGGAAGGAAGGAAGGGAGGGAAAAAACAAAAAGAGAGAAAAAAGAGAAAAAGAAAAGAATTAAGAAGGGGACCAGGTGGGATCCTTAAAAGCTGATTAGGGCTGTGTCCTCATAAGAGGGTTGATGCATTCATGGAATTAATGGAATAATGGGTTAATGGCTTGTCGTAACTCAGGGATAGTTTGGCTCAGTCTCTCCCAAGCTCCCAAAGTCCCACCATGTAATGCCCTGTGCCACCTCTGTACTTGGCCAACAAGAAGGCCAACACCAGATATAGCCCACTGATCTTGAACCAGAACCATGGACCAACTAAACCTGTCTCCTTTATTACTTACCCAGTTTGTGGACTAGCATTATCAACAGCAGGACACGGGATGAGACCATGTTGCTGCATCACTGTGCCTCATTATCCATTTTATAGCTGAGTAATGGTCCACTGACCCTACCTCCTTGGGGGTCTCAAGAACCTATGGCCCTACATACATTCTACAGGATTTCAGTGTCCCAGTCACAAGGACTTTAGGCTCCCAGCTTCTTTGAGGGGAAGATGAGAAAGTGAGAGAAACAGAGACAGACAGCACAAACATTTGATCCAGTGATGGATCACAAAGGATATCCCCACCCCCTTACCCTCTACAGCACCATCACATGTGGATCCAACAGTTAGAATATAAGGTGTTGTCGTGAAGGTGGCTCAGGACACAGTGGCCACAGAAAAGGAAGTTGCTAACTAGCAATGGTGGCCAGCATGAGTTTGGTTGGAGGGTGTCGGGGGCGGGAGGTCAGGAAAACCTCATAGAGGAGGGGCCTCTCTTCAAAGGAGGATGTGACCAGGCACCGGTGGCTCACACCTGTAATCCTAACTACTCAGAAGGCAGAGATCAGGAGGATTGCAGTTCGAAGCCAGCCCTGGGTAAATAGCTCTCCAGACCCTATCTTGAAAAAATCCATCACAAAAAAGCGATGGTGGGGTGGCTGAAGTGGGAGAATATCTGCCTAGCAAGCATGAGGCCCTGAGTTCAAACCTCACTACCACAAAAAAGGAGGATGTGCAAGCTATAAGAAGTCTTTCTCTGCTATGAAGGTGGCCTTTGGCTGCTGGGATACAGAGTGTAGCATCCACTAGGGAAAATGAGCAGGACCCAAAGCTCTTAGATGCCACAAAGAACTGGGACATTATCCTGAGGGTACTGGGGAGCCATGGAAGGTCCATGAGTAGGAAATGGTGAGAGATATCACTGCTGATGTGTAGACAGGAAAGACATGAAAGAAATAACGATTTGATACCCCTACAGTGCCAGGCCCTGTTCAAATGCTTTGTCTCATCAGAATCCTTTAATACCATGTCCACCTTGTTTTTCTTTTGGTGGCACTGGGGTTTGAACTCCAGGCCTCACACTTGCTAAGCAGGTGCTCTACCACTTGAGCCACTCCACCAGCCCTTTATTTGTGTTGGATATTTTCAAGATAGGGTCTCATAGACTATTTGCTTGGGCCTAAGCAAAAAAGTTTGCAAGACTGCATCTCAATAGAAAAAAGCTGGATGTGGGGTGATGCATTCCTGTCATCCCAGCTACAGCAGGGGATCAAGGTCCAGGCCAGCCTGAGCAAAAAGCAAGATCCCATTTCCAAAATAACCAGAACAAAAAAGCATGTGGTAGATTACCTGCCTAGCAAGCATAAAGTCCTGAGTTCAAACCCCTGTCCTGCCCATAAAAGTGGTCATGGAGCCTGGTGCCAGGGGCTCACACCTAGTTACTCAGGAGGCAGAGATCAGGAGGATCAGGGTTCGAAGGCATCCCTGGCAAAATAGTTCATGAGACCCTATGTCAAAAATAAATAAATAAATAAACAAATAAATAAATAAAAGAGCTATTTTCAGGATTGGCTTTTGGGGTTGTTGGTAAATCAAGTGTGGAAGACAAGACAGCATAGTTGCTTTTTTTGTGGTACTGGGGGTGGAACCCAAGGGTCTTGGTCATGCTAGGCAGGCACTCTGCCACAGAGCTCCAACCCCAGCTGTGAGCACTCCATATTGACCTGGCCCTATTGAAATTGCTCAACACAGCATGATTTCCTACCATGGGGTGTGGTGTAGGTGCTGGTGGCAGGAGGGGGTGAAGGGCTCCTGATTTTCATCTTGAGAAGGACTGGTGTTATAGTGGAGATCAGGCAGACAGAATGTGTACCTGTGGGGCACAGAGTGGGAATCTCTCCTATTCTCCTCACCCTCCTGTGCTGTCCCCTACTCCCTTGTGTGCTGATTGCCCAGGGTCTTCCTCCCACTTCCTTTCCTTTTTCACCCAGTAAGCACCTTCCCGAGAGCTTTGGTTGCCCAGATGTGAATGTGACCCATTGCTGGCCCTCGTAGGTTCCATGCTTGGGACAATACACATGGCCACAGTGGCCCATGACAAATGCCCTAATGGAAGTCCCATGGGGCCCTGAGAAAGCCTAAATGATTTGACACTAGCTGCTAAGTCTGCAGTTCAGCGCCTCTTTCCCCATCCCTGTCCTTGCTGCCTGGACCATCCCTGCTCCTCTTTCAGAAGGAAATAAAGACGCTAGCTCCAGGGATCCGTAGGTGGGAATTTTCCGCATTCTGAGCCTCCCTGTATGGGCACAGAGACAGAATTGGCTTACTGGGGTCCATGGTGCTTATGTGACATTTGTCAGGACATCTGTGAGAAGACAAGGAAACTTCCTGTCTCCTGGAGGGGGTGGGGAGAGGGCTCAAGCCTGGTGGTTA